GCCGGAGCGCAGCAGGCCCCACCCCTTGGGGAGGTGGAGCCAGCCCCCCCCAGCCAGCATGGGCTTTCCCCAGCCCTGCAGGGGGGTGCCTGGGGAGGAGAGCAGCCGAGCCCTCCCCCAACCACCCCTCGCTGGCCGCTCGTGGGGGCGGGGTCCCTCGGCCGCCTCCACCTCCATGTAGCCCTGCGGCCCGAGCGCCCTGCCCAGCCCAGGCTCTCCTGCGGGCACCCCCATCTGCCTCAGTGCTCCCCGCTGCACGGCAGTCAGCGGCTCGCCCCAGCCCCCAGTCCGGCCTGCGACCGGGGTCCAGCTGCCCTTCGGCCCAGAACCGCTGCCCCCGCCGCCTGTGCTCATGACCCCCGTAAGAGACAGAGCACGTGGTCGCTGGGGCTTCAGGCTGGAGGACGGGCTTCCCGCACTCGGGCTGGGCCCGCGAGGCTGGCCGGGCCCCGTCTCCCACCCTCAGCCTCCTCCCAGGGTTCGGCCCCGCGCTCTGGCCCTGCCCTGGCTCGGCTCAGCCGCCGCGCTGTCAGCCAGGCTGGCCCGGGAGCGCCACGCCCAGCCCTTTCCGGCGTCCTCGGGCTCACCGGGCACAGCGGCCAGCGGTCGGCGGCATCGCCGTGTCCAGGAGCCAGCTCTCCGCATCCAGGCCTGTGCCGCGGGCCCCGTGCAGCCCGGGTCTGCGGCCATGACGGCGGCCTCGGCGCCCGCCACTCGGCCAGCGACCCACATGGCACGAAGGTGTCCGACCCGCTGGGGGTGTCGCGGGCCTCCCCCCACCTGCGGTGGCCACACAGCCAGTCGCCAGGACACGCCTTCCGGTGTCCCGCCCTGGGTGTGCAGGGACCGCGTGGCGCTGTCTCCTTGGGCGTGGCAGGAGCCTCCCGCTGCTGATGAGCACAGGACCCGACCCCACGCACCCCACTGCTTCCTCTGGGGGTGCTTGGAGTTTCTGGGTGAAGAGCCACCTCCACGAACCCTCCAAACAACTGTGTGATGGACATCTTCACGGGGATGTGCACCGAGCCCCTGCAGCCCCTGTGTGTGCGTTAGTAAGGGCGTGGGTCTCACTCTAGCTTCAAAGGCAGGAAAGTCCGACCCGCTCCCAAGAGGAGCCTGGACGCAGAGGCCGGGGGCCCCGGAGGGGACCCGGGGACACACAGGCCAGGCGGCCCTGGAGCGGACACACAGGCGCAGGGCCCTGGACGCAAGGGCAGATGAAGTTCGCTCCGGGGTGTCCGTGGGCACTGCCACGGAGGGCATGCAGGTGCGTGGCCGTCAGCGGTGCCCAGCCGCCAGCCTGCCCCTGCAGCCTGGGCCCGGGCCCACCCACTCTGCCTCCTCCAAGTGCCCCGGGGCCCTTCCTGCAGGGCGGGCCCCACAAATGCCACCCAAGCGGGCCTCTGCGGCCACAGTGCAGAGCCGTGACGTCAAGGGGACGCCCTCAGCCCGGTCTCTGGATGAGGGAGCTGGGGCTGCTGCTGACGCGGGCTGCTCCCCGGCACCCCAGCCTCGGGGTCAGCAGAGACTGGCAGGCCCACACAGGGGGCGTTGCGGGAAGACCTGGGACAGCCGGACAAATCAACATCAGGCAGATTCACAGGAGAAAAGGCCAAAGCTTAGGCTGCGCGTGGTCCGGGAGGGAAGCTGAGTCACTGCCCCACCTCAGGGAGCAGGACTCGGGGAGCAGAGCCCCTCCGCTGCCTCCAGGGAGCTCATCGCTCCTAGTGCAAACCCCGCAGCGCGTGTGGGGTGTGGGGAGAGCCTGGTTCTGAGAGCCTTGGGGCGGGAGGTCTAATCGCACCCTCACTGCCAGTGTTCCGGGGCACAATTCGCTGAGTTGCAGGTTTCTTCCCGTCACACCTAGGGGGCAGGGCTGGGGGGATTGGGGGCAGGTGGGCGGGGCCGGGGCTGACTGGGCTGAGCCCCAGAGGCTGGGCTCTCCACCTGGGGTCACGGGGTGGGGGTACCGAACCACCCGGCCCCCGGCCCGAGCCCTGGCAGCCCCCCGTTGAGGGTGCCCTTCCAGGAGCAGGGGCCCGCGGCCCCTCGTCACCCACGACACGTGCGGGAAGTCAGGGTGCGGGCAGCCAGCCTCGCCTCCTGCCACGCCACAGCGAAGCTCCTCAGACTGCCCCCGCGGGGACACCCGCCTCTGTGGAGAGGGAGATTGTCCCGCCAGCGAGTAAGCCTCTTGGCCCGGCCGGCCGTCACCCCGAGGGCGGGAAGCTGGGCAGCACTGGCCGGGGCTGGCCCTCCCCGGAGAAGGCCTTCGTGGGGGGGTGCTGGAGGCCCTCAGCCATCAAGGCGAGGGTCAGCTGCAGCCTGGAAGCCCCTTTGACCACTCAGGCTGTCCGAGGCCAGCGGAGGCGGGGCGGAGCTGACCCTCACTCCGCGGCCGCGAGGTCTGAGTCAGACGTGACTCGTGTGCTCAGCAAGGCAGGGCCATTTTGGACTGTTTCTGACCACCCCCATATTCTCCTGATGCCTTTGGGGTTCCGTGGCAGGGGTGCCCCCACCCCTGTAGGCTGTGCCCGAGGCGCACAGAGCCCTGCTTCCTTCCCGTCTCTTCCCTGATGCCAAGAACCCACAGGGGCGCCCAGGGAAGTGGGCAGGGAGGGGCAGGGAGGCCGGGGGTGGGGTGAGGGGGGGCTGTGTGGGGGAGGACACGCCCAGGAGGAGCCATCAGAGAAATCAGCTTTTAGCCCCGGGAGCCCCAGGCCGGAGCGGGGGGGGGGCGTGAGTGTCCCAGAGAGGAACAGGCCCCGCGTGCAGTGACCCGGCCGGTAACCCCGGGGGGCTTTGGTGGGCAGGCCTGCTGTGCAGGAGCCGGGCCGGCTCCTGGGGGCGCCTTGGGGCGGTGAGTCTCGCAGACAGCTCCCGAGGACGGGCCCTCCATGCGAAGGAGAAAGGGAGCAGGCGTCTGGGGTCAAGCCAGAGCCGGCCCTGACGCCCCTCCCCAGCCCTGGTCTCGTCGGCCCGGGGCAGACTCCCTCGGCGCAGAGGCCCTGGCCGCACCGGCCCGCTCTGCGGGGCCCAGCGGGGGCCGTGGCCGAGCGCCTCGACATCAGCCCAGCAGACACAGGGCGGGGGGTGTGGTGCTGGGGCACCCCTCAGACTGCACGCCCAGGACCCCGCGCCGCCGCTCCAGACGCCACCGGCCTCGCTCCGCAGGCGCCGGCTGCTTGAGGCCCCACCTGGCCGCCTCGGGAGTGGGGCCGGGGCCGGCCGGGGGCGCTTGCTGGTCACTGTGACGGGGGGCTGCTGCCCCCGGGTTGACCACCCTGGCCCCGAGCTGGGCAGCTGGCTGTGAGCCCTTCGCCTCCCCGCCCCCCGGGGTCTCACAGCGGGTGGGCGCTCCAGGCTCGGGGTGCGGCGGGCCCCTGGCTGGCATCCCTCCTCTTGAAAGCGGATTGGAACGCCTTACGTTTGCGTGAAAATTAGAAGTGGAAAACGTGGACTTGTTCTCCGAAGGCGTGCGTGAGCCCGTTCCACGCGCCTGGCGTGCGGTGGCGGGTGCTGTGGCAGCTGCGGGTGCTGGCGCTTCTGCCTGTTTCCGCCTTGTAAGTAACTGGATGTTGTGGTCAAGTTTCGTTTATCTCCGCGGCCCGCGCCCTCTGGCCTCCCTGGGGACAGCGTCCTGGAAGGGTCGCGGCTGCTACTCTCACTAGGGGCCTCTTCACGCCTACAACCAAGGGCCTCCCGCCCGGCCTGCTGGGGGCCTGCCCTCCCTGGGAGCCACCCCGGCACCCCGCGGGAAGCAAGAGACGGTTTCCTCTGGGGGTGCTGTTTCCTTGAGGGTCCTGGTTTGTTTCTCCCTCTGAAGAATGCTGTGCAAAGGAGCTGGGAGCGGCTGCCCAGCCGGGCTCTGCGCCCCTGCTCTGGCTGGACTGGGCAGCAGAGCCCTGAGTCTTACTTGCCCCGGGCCCCTGAGCCCCCAGGGCCAGGGCCTGAGACGGCCCCAGGGCGCCACCTGGTGGCCAGTCACAGCCAGGCAGGGCAGCCTGCAGCTGGAAGGTGCCGCAAACCAGCCCCCCTTACCCACGCCCACCCCGGGGGCCTGAGGTCAAGGTCACAGCCGGAAACTGGGGAGACAGGGCAGGAGGGGACCCCGGGGTGCACCCTCCCCACACTCCTGGGTCCTGGGGGCAGGGGAAGGCCCACACAGGGGAGTCAGTGAAGGGGCCGGCCTCAGCCCGAGTGCCCGTCCCTCCCTGCAGCGGTCTCGGCGGAGGCTGAGGGGCTGCAGAGGCCGCAGGAGCCCTCCCGAGGTCCACCCCAGCCACTCTCAGCTGCCTCGGTGGCGCGTCCCTAGCCCTGGTCCCCCGACCAGCAGCAGCAGCACAGGGAACCTGTGGGTGCTCAGCCTGGCCCAGACGCGCTGGGCGGGGGCCTGGGGGGCGGTGTGGGGAGCCAGGGCCGCCCGGCGATGCGGGCGCTGGGGTGTGAGCGTGCGTGCCTGCTGGCGCTGCCTCTGCAGCCCCCGGGAGCCCCCGTCGCAGTCACCGGCGGGCGCGCTTGGGTTTGTGGGGAGCTCAGGCGCGCAGCTAAGTGACCCACCCCAGCTCACAGCGCCAGATGGCAGCCGGCTCCCGCACGGGCTCGAGGCCGCTGCTTCCTGACCGGCCCCCACGACGGGTGACCTGCAAGGTCACCGCTTCACCTGCTCTTTGAAGCGCACCCCAGTTCCAAGCCTGGCTGAGTGGGCCTCTGACTTGGGTGCCACCCTCAGGAAATGGCACCCCCTTGGGGCGTAAATTCCAGAGGAAGCGTGAGGCAGAGGCGCCCCGTCTGCTTCTTGGGCCCCGAGTTCACAATGACCAAGAACTTGGCACTGGCTGCCCGCCCCAGCCCGCCAGAGGCCTCGCTGTCCTCTCGTGGATGGTCCTGTCCGCTCTTCCCCGCCCGGGAGAAGAAAGGAAAAGACGAGAGGGCCGGTGCTGAGGCAGAGAGAACAGCTGTTTTCCACCACCAGCGCGGGGCTCGGAACACGAGCGCTGCCCGGGGGCTGCGTCCGGGGCCGGCGGCCTCAGCGGTCTCGGATGTGCCGTGAGATGCGGTACAGCTCCATGGTGGCTCTGGCATCCTCCACGGAGCTGTGTCCAGAGCTGCTGCCCTGCAGGCACAGGTGAGGGGGACTTGGGGGCTGGCCGCAGCTCCCTGCTCGCTGCCGGGGCCAGGCCCCGAGCCTGCGCCTGCCTGCGGCCTCCTGCCTGGTGGCTGAGGGTGGGAGCCGGCCTGGCTTCCCCCTCAGCCCGGGGCCCTGGACACAGAGTCCAGCCTCTGGAGGGGCAGACTGCGCTCGGTGCTTGCGGTGGGCGTTGTGGGGCCGCGGACCTGCCGCGGACAGAGGGAGGCCCCGAGCCCCCGTTAAAGGACTGGGTGCGAACGGAGCAATGAAAGGGGGTCTCCGCTTCTCAGCACCTGAGGTCAGTGTCATTCAGGGCTGCCCCAGGCTCACCATTCCACCCTGCTGGCCAGCGGGGACCCGGAGCCGGGCCTGTCCCCGCAGCCCCAGGGACACACCCCTGCTGGACGACTCTGCTGTCCCCCAGGGCCCCTCCCGGCCACTTCCGGGGCACGGCCAGCCCCGCTAGGTCAGGTCTGCCCTGTACCTGCCCTCCTGCTGCTCCGGGGACCTGCCCGTCGCAAACACCCCAGGCTGTGCTCAGCGCCCGGGAAGGCCCACGCTCCGTCCAGCCGGGGCCCTCAAGACAGGGCCCTGCTCCCCTCCGCAGCCCCAGCCCTCGGCCCAGCCGGCACACAGCGGGCATTTCAGAAACATCTCGGCACCCACGGGCAGCCGCCTGGAGGATGCGTCCATGTGCCCCCCAGCTCCTCGGCCCGGCCCTGCAGCTGGCTCCGGCCGGTGGCGTCAGGGGGGCCCCCATTTCCCAGAGGCCCCTGGGGTCTAGCTTCCGTCAGCCACAGTCTTGACTTTACAAAGAAAACCCGAAATGCCTTCCCGGGCGCCCTCCCCTCCTGCCTCTCACCCTCACCGCACCGTGCTCCCCCATCACCCTCAGTCACGGCCACGCGCCCCTGGGAGCATGGGGGTGAGTGGCGGGCCACGGGAGACGGGTCCCCGGAGGCGAGGCCAGCCGCCCGGCGTGGGGCTGACCTGTCCAGGCGCGTGGCCACTCGCCTGCACGCCTGCCGCCACTCAGCGCACGACTGGGCGCCCTGCTGTCCGGCCCTCACTGCTTGTGCCGCTGGGGAGGCCTCGGGGAGGCCGAGGGCGGGCAGGGAGGCCGAGGGCTGGCAGGGGGGCCAGCGCCGCCCCGCCCTCACCTGGATCCTGCGCCCCAGCAGGCGCTCGCTCAGCACCCGCAGAGACACGCGCTTGCAGTAGTCCAGCCGGGCCTCGCGCCACAGCAGCCGGTCGGCGGCCGTGTCGTAGACGCTGTAGCTGCCCATGTCTTCCTTCAGCGCCTCGAAGTCATGCTTCAGGTCGTGGCCCACCACCAGCTTGCCCTTCAGGAGCTGCAGGATCTGGCGGGAGACACACCCGCGTCACCCCGCCCTGTGCCGTGTGACCCTGGGCACGCCGCCTGCCCTCTCTGGGCCGCAGACGCCGCCTCCCCACCCCAGGAGCGTGGGCCGGGTCCTTCCTCGCTCCCAGCACCTCGGGTCTGTGCTGAAGCCACCGAGCACTCCACCGCAGGGCAGGAGCCGGCCCCACCGGCACGTGCCTGTGTTGGGCACTGACCCGAGTCCATCACACAGAGCGGTGTGGGCCCCAGCCACGGAACTCACGGATGAGCGGCGTGACAGGTCTTAGCTGCAGGTGGGCTCCAGCTGCTAACCAGGTGGCCTTAAGAGAGGACGCTCCCTGGGTCACCCGGGGGGCCTGGCAGTGACCAGGGGGCCTGACGGTGAGGTCAGTGAGGGTGTGTGAGGGCTGGGCGGGCGGCTGCCGGCCTGGTGGTAGAGGACGGGCGCGAGCCCAGGCGTGTGAGCACGGCCTCGGGGTCCGGAGCTCTGCAGGGGCCCACCGGGCACCGAGGGCTTCCGAGGACCGGCCCTCGACAGGGCTGGACGCAGGCGAAACACGGACAAGCGCCCAGGAAGTGAAGTCCTTCCCCGAGGGCTCCAGAACGGGGCTGCTGCATCATGGCGGCCCCCCACAGGGGGGACCTTGCTGGGACCGCCCAGGAGTCCTGACTCCCCTGTGGCCCGAGGCCACCAGGCCACCGGCCGGGCCACGAGCAAACCCCGCTGAGCCCCAGCCCCCGCCTGGAGTCCCACCGATCAGATCCGCCAAGCTCCCCCCAGCCTACCCCTCCCCCCCACAACAGCGGGTGGGGGAGAGGAGTGAGCAGCACCGTGGTTTGAATGGCGGGGTTCCGGGGTCCTGGGGTTCCGGGGTCCTGGGGTTCCAGGTGGCTTGCTGAGCTGGGCACCTGGAACAGCCCTGGCAAGAGCGGAGACCTGGACACGACCAGGCGGCGGGGCACCCCAGGCGCGCCCCCCCAGGCGCGCCCCCTCCCCGCACGCTGCACGGGAGGCAGGCTCCCCTCTGCGGGCCACCCTGAGCTCGGGCCGGCGCCTCTCCTTATGGGGCTGTCCCTGGAGAGGTGGGCGGGGACAGATTTAGGCTGGGCTGCACAGCCCTCGGCAAAGGGGGTGCTGTGGACAGCGCCCCACCTTCTGGGGCCCGGCGCCCACCGGGGACATCACGCAGCACCCGCACGGAGGGGAAGCGGAGGCTCAGCAGGGCGGCGGCGTGTCCGCGTCCCCCGGAAGCGGGTCCCACCCTCACTGTCCCAGCGATGCCATTGGTGTGGGGGCCTGGGGGCCCCTCACTCACCCAGGGGCAGGGGTCCCGCTGCAGGAAGCTGTGCCCATGGCGCCACGCTGGAGGCAGGGTGCGGGGCCGCACCGTCTGCGCTGCTCATGGGCACCCCAACACGCGCCTCCTGGCAGTGGCTCCGGGCTGGGGGTGGCGTGGGGCGGCTTCCGGGAATGTTCCGGAGCCCTTGGTGTGTGTCTCTTCCTGTGGACACCCTTTACGTTTCTGAACAATGGGCCTGTTTTCCCTCGAGAGGAGAGGAGCTGGCCCGGGGCCACTCTCACGTCTGTCATCGCAGAGACAGCCAGGGCGGCCCAGTCATCGGGGCTCCGGAAAACCCATCACTTCCTGAGCCCGCGGCTCCGAGGCAGCAGGAGACACGGAGCCCAGAGGGAAGCGGCGGCCTTGCGGCGGGCCGGCCTGCTGTGCCCCGGCGGGCTCAGGGGCCCTCTGGCTTCCGTCTGCCTGTGTGGGGCGCCCCCGCCCTGCCCCCCTGGGGCCAGGGCAGGAGGCCGCTGGCAGGGCCCGGGGCCGTGTGAGCCGCTGGCTGCAGCACCTTCCAGGTCAGTGCCACGAGGCAGGTGTGTTGGCGGCAGGTGTGGGTGGCGCCTCTCAGATTCTTGGAAAGGACGGGGGAGGCCAGGGTGTGGGCAGGGCTCCTCAGCTCGGCTGCAGCCAGGTGCTGCCCCTCCAGCGGGGCGCCTCCCAGCCCACCAGCAGGGCAGCCCGGTGGCGGCCTCCGGAGCCGCGGTGGGCACCAGCGAGGGCTAGCGGCGCTCCCAGGGCCACAGCTGCCGCCCTGAGCGCCGTCAGCCTTCAGTCCGGCCAGCAGCGTGGCGGCCGGCACACGGCAGCGACCTCCCGTCGGGGTCCACGCCCGCCGTCGGGCCAACAGGGAGGGCCCGGGGCGGGGTCCCCACGTCACTGGCCAGGGAGCGCGGCCCACCAGCCAGGGCCTGCCTGCCCCTGGGGTTTCTGTCTAGAGCCAGCGTTTCCCAGATGTGCCCGCTCCGGGCACCTTGTGAACAGTGTGGTGTCCAGGCCCGCGTCCAAACTCGGGGGGCGACGCCCCAGCGGCCCCGCGGGTCTCTGCCGCAAAGCCGTGGGCAGCACAGAGCCGGCCCTCCTCCAGGCGCCTCCCGCCTTCACGTTAGTCCACTCCCTCCTGGCTCCAGAGAGGGCAGCGGCCGGGGTGGACACTAGAGAACGTCCTTGTGGGGGCTCGGCCCCTCTTCCCTCCTGCCCATGGGGTCCTGCCGTCCAGCGGGCGGCTTCCCTGGCCTCCTCCTCGTCCTCCTCTCCACTCTGGCCGACACGCCAAGGGGGACGGGGCACCAGGCTCCTGTCCTGTCCACCATCTGCTCTGGCCGGCCTCCCTCCGGCACCGTGGTGCACAGGGTCCAGTTCCTTTACTTGCAAACTAGCCCCAGTCACGGGGCGGACACTCCTCTCATGCTGGCCCCAGTGGACAGAGCGTTCACTCAAACACGGAGCCACGAGCTATTGAAAGTTGCCGTTAAGATTTTAAAGAGAGTGAAGGGCACGGACGTGCCAGGCGCAGCCCTGAGTCCAGAGGAGACTCATGCCACAGCTGGCTGTGTCCTCGGGCAAGTCGCTCTCTCTGGACCTTCGCCCCCCGTGGCCCCTCCTGGGCTGACAGCGGTTTGCGAGCGGGGTGTGTCAGCCTGAGCGCCACTGCTGCCTCTCTGGGGGTGCGGGGATGCACCTGTCTGCCCGTCCAGCCTGGGCACCATAGTGTCCACCATCAGCTCTGACCGGTGGGCGTCAGCAAAGGCCCTGTTCTGGTGACCAGACATGTCTCCAGGGGTTGCTGAATGCCCCCGGGCGGGGGCCAAACCGTCCTGCATCCGAGCCTCCGTCCTAGTGACGGCGAGGCCCAACACGGCGGGGGACAGCGGTCACGGCACGCCACGAAGTGGCCACGCTTACACAAAACAAGCGGTGAGCGCCAGGGCGCTCCTGGGGCAACCGGGGGCGCCAGGACTCCCCGAGGGAGGGAGAGGCGGCTCGGAGCCAGTGTCTGAACCACGGCTGGAGAGGCCAGGGCCCGTGAGGCCTGGACGCACCCGGCCGTGGCGCTGGCTGCAGGGGGCTGGCAGGCCATCCGGGGCCTGGCGCCCGCTCTGTCTGGGACTAACGCGTGCTGGCTGATGGGCGGTCGAGCCCATCTGCGACCCCTTCGCGAAAACAAGGTC